CGTGCGTGCGTGTGTGTGTGTGTGTGTGTGTGTGTGTGTGTGTGTGTGTGTGTGTGTGTGTCTGTCTGTCTGTCTGTCTGTCTGTCTGTCTGTCTGTCTGTCTCTCTGTCTCTCTCTCTTTTTATCTGTCTGTCTCTCTGTCTCTCTCTCTTTTTATCTGTCTGTCTGTCTGTCTCTCTGTCTCTCTTTCTTGAGGATGAGAAAAAGGGGTGGAAAAGTTAAAAGCGTGGTTATGCCTTGGATTGTTAAAATGAAACGAGAGAGGATGTGGATTTAGGGCGAAAGAGATTGATTCGTTGAATTTCGGGCGCGTTTCCGTTTGTCGAATAATGGCGCGTTATAAAGTTACGCTTTTATTTTTTTTCCATTTTTCCATTAAATGGAAAAGTTGACGGCGGTTACGTAATCACGCGATGCAGGTTTCCAGGTATTTATTAATTTTCGCGAAATTTTTTTTTCGTCGCGCTCGACGAGAGATGGTTGCAAATTCAATAATTTGTTTATTAAAATATTCCTGCGTTTTATTACGTAGTGATAAGCGTGTGATAAGCGACCAACTTTTCTCCCTCCAGGTGAGAAGTAATATCCGCGAAAATTTTGTAAGCTGCGCAACAACAGGGATTGACAAAACGTAGCTTAAAATGGCTAAATACCCATTAATCTTCTCGCGAAATTATATCCAAAAATAAATTGATCGTCGAATAAAACGTCTCTCGCCCCAATATCCCATAAATTCTCTTCACAGAATTACATCTATAAATTCTCCCTCTCCTCCTCTCTCTCTCTTTCGTATTCTCTTATTTTTCTTCTCATATTTTTGTACATCTATAATTTTTTTTAGTAAACTACCAAACTCTGAACTACTAAATTGATGATAATTTTCTACGTTTCTTTTTTTCCACGCACAAGAAAACGAGCAATCTTTTGATGAACGAATTCGATTCCTCGAATTCCAGGAACCAGACTCGACAAAAACCATCCAGGGAGCGCGATTCGGGATCGAATCAAGAAAGCTGATCCCTTCCTCGCCGGATGATTCGGTGGCGTTGCTCGCACGCTGGAAAGGTGCCTCGCCACGTATCCAATCGTATCGAGTGAAGATCGCGATAGAGAGCACCCTCTCGACACGTCTGCCCGTTGTTGGACAAAAGGGTTGGCCACTCGTCGTCTCACCATCCCCTCCAACAGGGGAGGATCGAAGATCGCCCGTCGATTCGTCACGGGAGAGCGAGAGGATCGTCGAAGGCAAGGTGAGAGGTCTTTTTGCATTTTTATTCTTCATATGTGATTGCTTTTTTTTTCTTTCAAATGATTTTTTAATTTTTTTAATTGGCGAAACGTTCAACGTTTGAATTGGGGTATGGTGTTATATATTTGTGCGATATTCGTTTGTTGGTCGAGATGTACAATTTTGTTTTTAACGGTGAAATTCGTTTGATTAATATCGGGGATAATTTAAGAAAAATATTTGGTTACGTTTTATTCAAATCCTTGGATCAAATTTGAGTTTTAATAAAAGCTTGCCGGATTTGTATTAATTTCGGATTGGATTGAAATTACAGTGGAGGGTAATATTGATGATGTTATTGTAAAAATATTAGATTTAAAGTTATTTAAAGAAACATGTGTATAAATATATAAACAAATTATTGGAATTAAAAAAAAGAAACGTAGAAAATTATCATCAATTTAGTACAGAGTCTGATCAATTTTTAATATAATTTAGCGTATTCGTATTGGTTTGTTACTAAAAAAAAATTATAGATGTATAAAAATAAGAGAAGAAATTGAATCGCGAATTTATTTATTTATCTTCTAACGATTGCAATTTCAATATCAACCCAAACGAGAGGCAAATCGATATTCGAGTTTTCAGTGTGTAAATCGCGGCTCGTTCTCCAGCCAGGGTCGGTGGTGACAGGTACGATCGATTATCGCGTGCGAACCGACCTTACGTCGAGAGACAGAAGGTTTCTGGGAAACCGTGTCTCTGGTTCACCAGGTCGTATTTATTGTTCTCATCGGAATTGGATCGCTCTTTCCTTGTCCTCATTTCCTCTCGCTCATTTCAGTGTGGTGGATACACGTGTTCTTAAAATTTTTACGACTTCTCCAATCCTTCTCTATCCCCAACGATAATTATTTTCATCCTTCGAACTTTTCAAATGCTTCTGATTGTCGTGAACGGTTCACTCTTTTCAATATCGTGCCTAGAAACATAATTGGCTGTAATAATTTTTTAATTATTTTTTGCAAAATTTAAATAATTTGTAAATTTCTTTATTATAAGAAAAATTAACAAGATTTTAACTATAACCTATGAAAATGTAAATTGTATTAAGATAAATGAATGTTAAAAATCGTGTAAAAGATTGTTATGATCCCCCCAAAAATAATTCGCGATTTCGTTACGAATCACTATTGCCCTAGAATCCTAGTTAACATAAGACTATTACCTTAGATAAGACTTAATCTTAAAAAGAGTACAGAGAGAGACAGATTTTGAAAAAATTATTCATTTATTAAAAAATGAGTTTAATAATGATAATATAAAAAAAAATGTTATCACAAATGTATATCTGAATAAATATAAAAGAATATATGATTTAATTTCTTAAATTAATTAATTTAATATCATAAATTTTATTGACAAATTTATACTATTAATAATTATAATAAAATAAAATATAGTATAAATAAATTCAATTTATCGAACACGATTTCGCGAACTGATCAAAAGTTTGAATTCAATGTTTCGTCGTAAAAGTGAGAAAGCATAGATATCGATCGTGCGAACCGACCAATTTCGCGGACAGTCGGAACAGTCAGTCATAATTTTCGCGGACGTTTAATCAACCCTGTAGCACCCCTCTCCCTTTGTCTCTGTATATGCCCTCGTAATTCATAGTCGAAGCTATTTACTTTACCACTCGTCCTCTTCTTTTATTCGATACCATTCGATCTCGCTTTTCGAGTCTCGATATTCCTCGCAATAATATATCGGGGCGACCGTGTCCGATAAATCGTCTATCTGTAATCGATACTTCTGAAATTTGAGAATTTGACAATTTTTAAAGTTTTTTCCTTCTCCCCCCCCCCTTTTTCAATTCGAAACTCTGTAATTTCATTTATTTACTTACGTCGATAGATTTTTCACGAAAAAATGTTTCGAGGTAAAATTCTAACCTAACTTATAGATTCGTGTATTTTTCGAAGAAAAAGTTGATGATTTTAAACTTTAACTCGTTAGACATATATTCACAACATCCTATATTTTAACATATTTCACGTACTTTATATCCAAAATATATTAATTTCGTTCGATTTCTCTTCTTTCAGATCGTGTCGGCGCCAAAGTATCTCATGAAGTCGACAGGCGACAGCGGCAAAGTCGGGGAGCGATTGTCGAGCATAACCGACACGGGATCGAGCCAATATCGCGGCACCAGGTGAATCGAAATCGAGGAACACCCGCCCCGAAGCGAATCCAACTTTCGTACCATGTATAAGATCCTTCGACGCGGTTCAAGCCGCGTTTTCGTTGTCTGTGCGGTCCTTCTCACTTTGCTGCTATGCTTGTACTACGTGAATCAGGCACAGGCGCCATCCACGGGCCCATCTGCGGGAATTCTGAACGAAGAGCTCAGATACGACAGAGGTCTTACCTCCATCACGCCGGATTACGTGGAATCACCGGACGCCAAGGTCTCGTTGGACACCTGCCCCATCATTGTGCCTAGAAACGTGGATATCGACACGCAGCAGGAGTTCGAGAAGTTCGATTTTCAAGTAAGTGACGATCAACGTTAGAAACGGAGACTATAGGTATCGATACGACATAGCAGTAGAGAGCAGACTATAGAGGATCGAGTTATATCTAGAGAGAATACTAGAGGGAGTTAGTATGATACTAGGGAATTATAGACAGATTAGTTTTTCCTAAGAACAGTTGGTGGCGTTGACGTTGACGTTGACGTTGGCGTTGGCGTTACTTGTATCGTGTAAAATATTAAAATTATGTGGTTTGTCTATTTTTGACGTCGCTTCGCGAAATAATACTATTAATTCTTACACAGTGAGTTAACGGTTTTATAAGTGTATAATATAACGATGAAAACAAAAAGGAATGAGTTACGATGTCACGTAGTCCTGTTTGCATCCACGTTTCTGACAACAAAATCTGGTGATGATTGGTAAGTCATTTTTGCATGGATTGTTCTTGTCGTCCAGCGATCGACTTGGTGATACTTGTTAGGTTAGGTCCATACTGTTTTTCGTGTACACAATACACACAATAGTTCACAAAATATGTTTGTCGATAGTGTGGACACTTTTCGCGAATGATAAATAGTGTGCAATGAATTGGTCAACGAACAGTGTTTGCAAATAATATTCGTTAGCGAGTATACGCTTTAAGAAATACGATTCACAGATTCGTTCATGATATTTTGAAAAGTGATATTTGTTCTTTATTTCTAAACAAAATGTTGAATAAATATTGAGAAAATTAAATTATCGAACAATGCGACAGTTAATTAGACGATTAATTGGACATTGTAATAAAAAAAAGGAAAAAAATTTGTTGATTTTATCGCGCGATTCGCACGTTTTTAAAAAAGTTTGCGAAAACTTTTCGCGAAAGCTCTTTCATACAAGTTAACTTTGCGAAATTTCTTTGTTTTCATTGAAGAATAAGAGATAACAACTTGTTATGCCATGAAATTCGGAAAGTGTAATTATCCCAAGGGAAGTCGGTCTTTCAATTAATCCCCGTGCTTACGGTTCGCGAATATTTATGCTGGTCAGAATGATTCAGGGACAACGCGCGTAAGTCCGGTCGTTTTAAAAGTGCCGCGTCATTAGCCGGAGGAACTTTTCTTTCTTCGTTCCCTCCAGGGAGTCTGCGGACTTTGCCGATTTAATGGACGACCCCTGTAACAAGGAATTCTCTCTTTTTTTTCTTCATCTCTCTTTTTCTTTCCTCTATCTCCCTTGGTCTTTGCTTCTTCTTCTTCCCTCTCCGAGCCATTGAATCGAAAATAATTTAGCAGTTTGTCTCGGGCTTCTAAACTCCCCGACCGGAAAGTTCGCAAGTCCCGACGAATTCGCGAACTTCTTCCGGTCTTTGGATTCGAACGAGAACGCTTCGTCTTTGGGATAATTTAATATCGCCGGTAAATTGGTCGAGGAAAAGTGAAAATTTTCGAAATTTTGTCGTATGTTTATTTTTAAACGTTATTTTTAATATATAAGAAAAGATATAAGTTTCGTCTTTCTAAATAATGGATTTATCTTTTTTTCTATTTCGAATTAATAATTCTAAAATTATGAGGCTCTAAATTATTCCACACAATCGTACTTAGAATGTCAAATAGAGACAGAGATATTAAATGAATCCAAATAGGTTATGTTAAATAGAAAAATAGATATCAAGTGAATCGAAATATATAAATCTATTATTTCAAACAGTATAGTATTACATAATGATCAAACGATTATTTCAAATGGAGACACATAGCTGTCAAATCAATCTATATATGATCTGTTTTAAAATATATATGTTATGAATTCAAATATTCTAATAATTAAATATAATAGTTGTACAATATTCATAATGTTCAAATGGAATGATAGATTATTAAATAGTTTAATGAATAAATATAAATATTTAAATGTTTAAATATAGGTAAATTATATCTCAAATAAAGATATAAATGTATCTAAATCCAACATTTAGATATTTGATATCTCAAATATTTGGGATACGGAAAATAGAATAAATTCAAAATTCGAAATAGGGATATCGAATAAATATAGATCAGATAAACAGATATAGTTGTATTTATAGTTAATCAAAAATTATCAATTATCGATCGTTTGATATAAAATTTTAATTTCCGTGAAAAGAGATACCATTCACGTTTCATTTAAACGTTTCTCGATTTTTTTTATTTCCTTTTATTATTTTCTATCAATATTTCAAACACGACGTGTAGTACGAGAGATAATTGCGTGTGTCGATTAAACTGGGACAACAGCCTGTATTCTATTTTTCACTCTTCCATCGATGAACATCGATTGCAACCCACGCACGTCCCTCTGACAATTTATAAGGTTTTTCAACCCGTCCCTGATGCAATTCTGATATTTTTCGAGTCGATCCTTTGAAAAATCCGATTATCTCGATTTCTATTGCGAAACATACGTACAGCCAGTCAAGGATTTTGACGATCAATCGCAAAAATTTTCGTATTTTTATAATAAAATTCATTTATAACGAATAACTCGAAAAATCAAATTTCGATAAATATTCGTACAATAATCGATTATACATGGAGCAATTTATCTTTCGATGGAAATTCTCTTCAAATTGCGTTCAAAAAGTCGAGCTTCAAATTTTTTATCATTTTCCTCATATCATATGCGTGTAACTTTACCCGAAAATACAATTTTTTACAACGAGGTAAAACAGAGTATTAAAAGCATCTGAATATTTTATAGTTTAAAACGTTGTTCCATCTCGTGTCATTTAAAAAAAAAAGAAATTTGATTGTTTTCACTCCTTTACGACGATTGAATTCCATTGAAAGAATAAATGTATATAAAATCCTCTATTTACCAATTTAACTCGCTTTATACGTGTACCAAGTCTTCCCTATCTGACTGTATCTCAGCTACGAGTCATCGATTCTGCAAATCGAGCGAAACATTCCAACGAATTAAACGTTCAAACAGATAATTCGAATTAATTCCGATCGGAAACCGGAAGTCTTAGTTGAGCTACAATTGCGTCCAATTGTGGAAGATAATTCGGTGACGAAACAACACTGGTCCATTCCAGCAGAGGTAAACGAACCGAATCGTTCAACCGTGCATTAGACTTTCAAATTTCGTTTCGAAAAAAAAAAGAAAAAAAGAATAATAATAATATGAGATAAACGTAGACAAAGTTTTAACGATACAGCCCGGGAGCAATATTTGAAATAACGGCTGTGTGGGTCGTTCGTGCGAGCAGACGACGATCGTTTCTGGTTCCAGTTATTGGCGCATTTCGAGTATCATGAAACCTTCGAAATATCATTCCATTCCGAATTCTGTGCGCGATCGAAAATGTGACGAGAATGCCTCCGTGCCTCCTCTACGAGGCTAACGAGATTTTGGCATCTTCTTGCACGAATTTTCCTTCTAATCTTTCGCATTTCGCTCGTGTCCACCACAGAATCGTTTCAAATTACGAGATTACGAAATTTCGTAAGATATCGTCTGATGTTCAATGGAAAAATATTGGGATGATCAGCGAGCGTTAGAATAACTGGCTCGAATGAAACGATTTAATCCACGTGCTTAAAATATAGCTTCGGGCGAGTGTTCATACGTTTTGGAACAATCCGTTTCATTCATCGTCGAAGTATTGAAATTGTGGCGTCACGAGTGAAATTCCCTAAGTGAATCGGGATGTTTCGAAATTTTTTTTTGCCTCACGACGACGTGAAACGATGAAAATTTCGGTAGAATCGAAATATTATTATATTCGTAGAAAGTTTACGGCGGTGATCAAATCGAGCGGGTTTAATTAATACGCTCGATAATAATCACGGAATGAAACGATTTCGACGAGTGGTATCACGCGCGGGTAGAGTGCACTTTACGGGAGATTGAGCGGGCAGCAATCGGGATCGTGTTAATTACGGGCTCTCGAAACGCGTAGTTGCGTTAATGACGAGTTCTTCCCCGTCGCAGCTTCGATGCATGCCCTCCTCCCCCCTCCTCTAAAATCGAAAACCCTTTGAACGATTATCGAATTCAAATTCTTTAAATTGTTAAATCGAAGATATATAATTTGCACATTGTAATTTGAGGTTATGCATACGATTATCCAGTTAAATTATTATTTGTTATTCCTTGATCAACAATTGACTCGTACCCTTTGAGAAATTCGTTTATTATTTTGAGGTTAGGAAAGTGGATGACGATTTCCAAGAAATTCGTCTTTCCTTTTTCTTTTTTGCGTACATATTCGATCTAGGTGTTGCAACCCTAGCACTAGTTTTGAATATTTTACACGCGAAAAAAATCGATAACCTTTTACTTTTGGATATCCTCTTTTTAGCCAACGTTAGCAATACGTTCGTACGAAATCGAGTATCGCTGTTTCTTTATTTTTCTTTTTCTTTTTTTTTTTTTAAATTTCGTAATTTTAACAAGTACAATTCAGTTTTTGATCGATCGCGTAGAAGGAAAAGATCGGCGATATCCAGACGGCGTTACATCACTGTCGAAAATTCGTTTTTCGAGCGTCAGCCGAGGATCGCGCGTCATCCGACAGCAGATAGAAACGAAGACGAAAAGCCTCGCAATTTAGGGTTCAATCCCCCCCCCCTCCCCCTCCTCCCTGCCTCTCTCGTACGGCTCCGGTGTACACCGACGGGCTACGTTTCGCAATTTGCCTGAGCAAACCTTTCCAGAAATTCATATCCGTCGTTTCCCTCCCTCGAATCGCTTCTTTCTCACCCTCTGTCATACTTGAGCCGAATAATATTCGTGTCCTCCTCTTCTGTTCAGGAGTCGCGTGCCAATTACTTT